TCCATTGGGACATCCTCCAGTATATTAGCCATTACTGGGCCCTTGCATTTCCATGTACATTTCAGAATCCGCTTGCCAAGATCCACTAAAAAAGTATCACCAGGAGTTTTTATCGGTGTTGCATTGAATCAATTTAGGGAGAATTTCTGTCTTTATGAGAAGGGATCTTCCAATGCATCTGTTTGGCTCTTCTTTAATGCCTCCAATAAAGTTTTATAACTCTCTTTAGGGAGGTGTTGCATATCAAAGAGTAGATTTACTCAAGTTTCCCGTCAGTGCTGTAACCATCACCACACACTCAGTGGCTTCCCCGTGCAGGAGGTCAGGAGTCCTACTGGGCTAAAATCAAAATGTTGGCAGGGCCACGATCTTTGGGGAAGCTCTGGGGAAGGGTCCATTTCCTGGCCTTTTCCAGCCTCCAAAAGCTGAGGCAACCATTGGCTCACGACCTCTTCTTCCATCTTGAAGGTCAGCAACCTTGGGCTGAGTCCTTGTCGCACGCCATTGCTCTGGTGTTCTTTTGCCCCCTTCCCACTGAAGGATTCCTCTTATGACATGAGGCCCACCTGACGATCAGGCTAATTGCCCTAGTGGGTTAAGGTCAGCTGGCAAGCAACCTCAATTCCCTGTGTACAGGCACAGCTTGTTTTATTGGCTTTGCAGATAACGTGTTTTTTTTTTTACAAATGGAAGGTTTGTGGCAACCCTGCATCGAGCAATCCTCTCAGCGCCATTTTTCCAACAGCGTGAGCCCACTTCATGTCTCTGCGTCACGTTTTGGGAATTCTCACATTTTCAACTTTTTCATAATTTTATTGCACACTTAATATGCTACAGTAACGTGTGAAGATAACCTTTATATGCACTCCAAACCAAACTCAACTCACTGCTGTGGAGTCGGATCCGACTCATAGTGACCCCTGCTTGGGTTTCTGTGATGGTATCACTATGGAAGTAGATTGCCCAAGCCAAAAAATGTGTGTGACTCCCATTATTGCAATAGTTGCTTTATTGCTCTGGCCTGGAACTGAACCTGCAACATCTCTGAGGTGTGCCTAGACCCTTAACTCCTGTTTGCACTAGAACCTAATGTACTCCCAGTTTCTGGGGGATTAGTGTACAGACATTTGGGGGATGCTATTATTGTGACAACCACTGATCCTCTGTGCTTTTTGTGGTTCCGTGAATGGTAACTTTTACAATTTTATGTCCTAGCTGTTTCAATGCTACTGATTTTATATCCAACTACTTTGCTAAAGATTCATTAAGTCTAACAAACCCAAAGATTTGTTTGGATTTTTAATACGATCAGTGGTTGTTGTTGTCATTATGTGCTGTCGAGTCAGACTCATAGGGACCCCTCCTTGGGTTTCCAAGGCGGTATCACTACGGAAGTAGATTGCTCAACCTTCCTTCTGAGGAGTGGCTGGTGGGTTTGAACTGCCAGCCTTCTGGTGAGCAGTCAGGTGCCTTACGCACTATGCTACCGGAGCAATCAGTGGTATCACTTGGAAATAATGACAGTTTTGTTTCTTCTTTTCTAGCCCTTATGCCTTTACTTTGTCCTTTTGCTTGCCTCCTGGGCTGGCATGGACCACTCAGACAATGCTGAATGAAAGTGGAGAGAGTGAACATCTGTGTTTTGTTCCTGAACTTCAAGAGTGCTTGCAACACTTCAACATGAAGAATAAGGTTCATTGTATTGTTTTTCAAAATAGATTCCCTTTTATGAGGTGTCTTCTAGACCTAGCTTAGCTTGCTAAGAGTTCTTTTTTTCACTTATTTATTCTCCTTAGTCTTTGTATAAATCAGAGTTCTCCAGAGAAACAAAGCCAAGAGGAAATACATATTGAGAGGCTGACAAGCCTGCAATCTGTAGGGTGAGCTGGCAGGCTGGCGCCAGGGAGGATGGCTATGCTACAATCTTGAAGCAGAATCCTTCTCTCAGGGGAACCTCAGTTTTTGGTCTTAAGGCCTTCCCCTGATTGGGTAAGGCCCACCCACACAATCAAGGGACATCTCCATTGAAGTCAACTGACTGTGCACACTAATCACGTCTAGTGAATACCTTCACAACAACATCTAGACTAGTGTCTCACCACACACCTGGGCACCACAGCCCAGCCAAGCTGACCCATAAACTAACCACTTACTGTTTGCCTGGCCCAGGACAGGTGGACTCCCAAGAGCTCGGGGTGCCAGCCAGGAGACTGTGCAGGTTTCTTTACAGTGTGTCATCCCAGCATAGTCCCTGCCCCCAGTGGTGGCGATGTCCTATAACAGGGTCACAGCTGGTGGTTATCAGGCTGCAGGGGGTACAGCTGGGGGCACCCAATAGAAACCTCGGCCCAGGCACTTTCCTGGACCTGGGGATGGAGGGGGCTGGCCAGGCATTTATTGAGCACCTTCTGTAGACGGGGAAGTGCACTGAGTTCTTTCATAGGTTCCCTGATCCAGTCTTAACAGCCCATTTGACACCAGACTTCTTTGGAGAAAATGAGGGTCAGGATGGTGGCAAGGCAGGGCTCAGGGCAGGAAGTGACCAAGCCAGGGCTTGAGCCCAGGCCTGAAACCTCCTGCGTGGTGGTCATCCTCTTGCCCATCAGGTACTGAGCACCCACTGGGTGCTGTGCCCCGTGAAGGCTGAGGATGGGGGCAGACTGGCCCACTCTCAGGGAGTTTGGACAGATGGCTGCTGGGCCCTGGAGGGGTCCCCTCAGAGCTTGAATGGACAAAGGGCTTTGGACACCTCTGCTGCAGGGGAAGTTCAGGGAACTGCATGAGGCCACCTGTGGCAAGGCCTCAGAGCCTAGGATGAGAATTGCTGTGTGTGGAGGCCTTTCCAGAGCCCCTGCCTGCTGTGGGGGCTGGCAGGGCACTTCCTGGGGTCAGCTGATAAACATGCTGTGAGATTGCGGGGGCAACCGGGCACTGGCCCCACTGTATTGCAACACACCCACCACCATCTGCCAGACGGCAGCAGAAGGCCACAGACCGGCACTAAGGAAACTTAGTCGTGGGCTGGACACTGCAGGGTGATCGTGCTCATGGAGAGGGAAGCTCAGGAAGTGGTCCCAGGTCCTTGGGGAGCCCCCAGCCCCAGAGGCCAGCTGATGTCTACACTGTCCTCCCCACAGGAGGCTAGGGCAGCCCCTTCCTGGCTCAGCCTGGCTTGCCAAGTGGCCTTGGGCAAGCACCCACTCCCTACTGTCCCCCTAAATCCCTTGGGCAAGCACCCTCTCCCTGTCACCCTCCCTCACCCCCCAAATCCCTGGGAACTTTCAGTGAGCCAACCACCCCCAGGGCTGGTTCCTCTCCCCAGCACTCTGGAGCGCCGATCCACTCAGGCACGTGCAGGCTGGATGACCAGGAATGACCGGGGCTGGAGGAAGCCGTGACCACTCCCCTGGGAGGTGTGAACACCCCAGTTCTTGCCCCTGGGGGGAACGGTGCTGAGGAGTGTTTTCATATCCCTGGTGTCCCTGCAGCCCACTCTGGGAGAGCTCCCGGAATGAGAGCCCCGCCCGGGCAGCTGGACTGGTGTGATGTCCCCTGATGTCCCTGGGTTACACACTGGGGTGCAGGGGGCCTGCCTGCCTCGGCCACCGCATTCCGATCCTGCTCAGGTACAGCTCGCTGTGAGACCTGGGCACCTGGAGACCCAGTTTCCCCCTCTGTACTACGGGGCGGCAATAACCCCTCCCTCCTAGCCCAGGGCAGGTGGGGCATGTGAGGCTGAGGTGAGGTGTCCAGGGGACAGGGAAGCACCCACAGACCTGGTGGATGACCCGGCGGACACTGCACAGCCCCTTGTGAGGGAGGACACCCCAGAAAGTTCTACCTGTCCCTGAACCGGTGCTCAAGGCCCCGTGGAAGGGCACCCCATGTACCGTCTCCAAAGCCACAGGATCCTTTGCCCGACAGGACCCAGGGGGCCGTGCTCCTCACCCCCACATCTGCCGAGTCCCAGAAGCAGGCCCCCGGAGCCTCAGAGGCTTCCTGCTCCCCGCTCTGTGCCAGGCCCCTCCAGCTCCCCGTCTAGCTCCAGAGTGGGAGCAAGGGCGCCCCCTGAAGATGGCCCCAGCCTTCTGCCCAGGGAGTGGGGTGGAGGAAAGCCCTCTGCTAGGCCTGCTTGGGCGGAAGGCAGGACTGCAAACTTGGAGACTCAGCTGGGAGCCAGGGCGGCCGGAACACCCTCCCAGGGGGTCAGGCACACGGTGCTCAGGGACATCCCAGCGTGTCGTGTCCAGCGCTCTGTGACGCCAGCTGTGGCTGTGGATGTGTTCGTGGGCAGGCTTTCGAGGAAGCTGTGGACCAGACCCTGGCCTCCAGCTGTGTCTCAAGAGGGGCCTGGAGCCAGGCTGGGAGAGTGTGCAGCATGCCAGGGGCCCCTGGCAGGGGTTGTTTTGGGGAGTCCCAGGGATACACACACACCCAGACCCAACCCTGCTGGCCACCAGGAAGTGGGCGTGCCTGCCCGAGGCCCATGTGCTGAGACCACTGCCTGGGTTGGGAGGCGGGGAGCTGTGTGGGGCAGCCACCCTGGGCCAGCTGACACAGGGGCCAGGTGGACGCTGAAAGTGAGGCAGGCCCTTTATTGGGGAACTTGTCACAGACACACACAGCCAGGGCCCCCCAAGCCCAGCCCAGGGTGGGGGTGGGGGCTTGGGCTCTGCTCCACCCTCCTGCTCTCCTATTCTTCCTGGTGCTGAGGGGAGGGACGCTCACGGAGGCCAAGGGGGAGCTCTGGTGGCATCGTGCCTACACAAAGGACCATGCAGGGACCCTGGCCCTGGGCCAGGTGGGTGCTGCCTTCTGGGCGGCCAGAGGGCCTAAGCTACTGGGGAGAGGAGAAGAGATGAAAGGGTGGGCTGGGGGAGGATTCGGAGGTGTGGTCTGGTCTCCAGGGGTGGTCGGAGGCCAGCTGGCCTCAGCTTAGGTCCCCTCCTCCCACTCTGCAAGAGCAGGGACCCGCGTGTGGGCAGGGCAGGGCGGCTGGCTCAGGCCTGGGCCTCCAGGGCGCTCAGGTGCACGCTGGGCAGACAACACCAGGCTGGCGGCAGCTCCTTGCTAGCGCTGTCCTCGTGGAAGCGGATGTGCAGGAAGAAGTCGCCAGTGTAGAGGAAGAGGAGTGCTCCCAGGCAGGCTGACTGGCCAGAAGGCTGCACCTGGGGGGCAGGGGGAGGAGAAGGAAGCGTCACCCAGGACATGCGGCATGGACCCCGGAGCCAGCAGGAGACCACCGACCCCGCGGGATGTCGGGGCGACAGGCAGCAGAGAGGCCAGCAGGCCTTGCTCTCACACCCACCCCAGAGTGCCCTTGCTGTGCTGCCTTGGGCAACTGGCTGTGCCTCTCTGAGCCTGTTTTTATGTCTTTTAAAGGAGCTGGTAGCATGTACGTTGTGGATGGTTGGGGATTCAGCCAACTAGGGAGGTGGGGCACCAAGTACGGAGGTGGCTGTGGATGGTGCCAATACAAGGTGGGGGTGGGCGGGAATAAGGGCAGAACCATGGGGCTGGGGGCTGGAGGCTGGAGGCTGGGGCTGGGCAGAGGACGGGGCTCTGGAGGGGGGAGCGTGGAGTCTAGGGTAGGGAGGATGAGGTAGCGCCCCAAGAAGTGGCAGGGCCAGGGCCTGACCGTGGGGGTAGGGGGTGGAAATAGAGGATGGATCTGGCCCTAGGGGCAGGGGCAGGGCAGGTTTAGAGGGCGGGGCCAGGGGCAGGCTTGGTCCCACACTGGACTGAAGGTGGAGGGCGGGATGGGGTTGATGTTGGACTGGCCAAGGGTGTGGAGGTGGGGGCGGGGCCAGGGAGGGTTCATCCTAGACTAGAGGGGGGAGTGGAGGGCAGGGCTGGCCTGGGGGCAGGGCCGGGGAGGGGGTCTGTCCTGGACTGGAGGGGGGATGTGGTTGTGGAGGGTGGGGCTGGCCCCGGGCACCTGGGGTCTGGGGCCCTGGCTCCACCCGCGCTCCGGGAGTCCTACTCTCTGGGGCCTGTGACCTCTCGGTGGGGAGGGAGAGCTGGCCTGGATCCTGGGGCACTGACGACAACCCCTAACGGTCCCTGCGGCTGCCTGTCCAGGCACGGCTTCCAGCGGTGGCGTCAGCTCCTTTCATCATCGCCCTGCCGGCGTTACCCTTACCCCCCTCACTGCCGGGCACAGCAAGTGCCGCAAGGCCGGCCTACTCAGGGCCTGTCAGCGAGTCCCCGCAGCGGGCCGGGCCCTCAGAGCACCACGTGAGAAGCCGGTGCCAGTTCGCCTGAGGGCATGGTGGTCACGCACCGCCTCCAGGTGGAAGGTGCTGGAGCCCACGAAGGAGACGGCGTCACGCAGGTCGTAGTTGTGCACGCCATTCTGGTGGTCCTGGTAGGGGACCACGGTGAGTGCGAAGGGCCCCACACTGCGCGCACTCCGATTGGTCAGCCGCACCTCCAGGCGCACTGGGTCACCCACGCTGCAGGCGGTCGCCTCCTCACGGTCACACGGCTGTCCGTCCACCAGCACGTCTGCAAGGAACACGAGACTGTCAGCAGCTAGCACTCCTCCCAGCCACCCTGTCCTTGGCTGCCTGCCCTCTGGGCCCGGAGGGGAACCAGGGCGCTAAGCCCGGAGTTTGCGCTCAGGAGCCTAGAGGCCTGGTATCATGTGATCTGGGCGGGCCTCCCAGAAGTTCCTGCAGAGCCCAGCCTCAAGGCCAACCTGGCCAGGCCCCCAGGAGCTGCAGGGAGACTGGACGCTTGCAGGGCAGGCCTGGAGAATCTCAGACTTTCTAAGCTAGGTCGGGGAAGCGGACCATGCAAAGGCTCTGACCAAAAACCAAACCCACTGACCTGGAGTTGACTCCTACTCACAGGGCCCCTACAGGACATAGTAGAAGTGCCCCAGAGGGTCTCTAAGATTGCCAATCTCTAAGGAAACAAAAGGTTGGGCAATCTACTTCCATAGGGATACTGCCTCGGAAACCCAAGGAGGGGTCACTATGAGTGGAAGATGACTTGACTGCACATATCAACAACAGGAAGCAAAGCCTAAACCAACCCACTGCCATGGACTTGATTCTGACCATAATGCCCCTAGAGGACAGAGGGGAGCTCTGGTAGTGTAGTGCCTAAGGCATTTGACTGCTAACCAGAAGGCTGGTGGTTCAAACCCACCAGCTACTCCTCAGAAGGAAGACTGCACAATCTACTTTCGGGGTGATACTGCCTCGGAAACCCAAGGAGGGGTCGCTATGAGTCAGATCCGACTCAAGGGCAGGGAGAGGACAGAGTAGACCTGCCCCAGAGGGTTTCCCAGGCTGTAATCCTTCTGGAAGCAGACTGCCTCATCCTTCTCCCACAGAATGCCTGGTGGGTTCAGACCACAGACATTTTGGTTAAGCAGCCAAGTGCTTTAACTGCTGCTCAAGTCAGGGGTGCAGGACTCTGCCACCCACGAGCACATAATCCACACCCAACCCTGAAGTGGGTGCTGGATAAGGACACAGAGGCTCTGAGAGAGAGAGAGGTTGGGATTCAGGTTGCAGGGCCCGCCTCGCCCAGGGCAGGCTTGGGCACCATGAAGGGGTGGGACTCTGTCCTGGGTAAGATCTGGGAGGCTCAGAGCAGGGAGCGTGTCCCAGGCAGGAGGAGAGGGGCATGAAGGTTTGGAGGTGGAGGAGACAGGGCAGGGCGGCAGCAGGGAGGGACAGGTCAATGTCAGGAGTCGTCATCTCCTCATCTCTGCTCAGAATTCTCTGAAAGGCACCATGCATGGCTCTCAACTGTCACATGGCCAGAGCCATTGCAGGGGTGGGGTGGGGTGTCTGCCGGGCCTGATGTGAGGCCCTGAAGGGGGCGGGGAGAGCACCGGCTGGAATCTGAGAAGCGGCTTTTCTCCTTAAGAATGACACCCTTGCTCCCTGTTCCCTCCATTCCCAGGCCATTTGCCCAGGGACACTTTGATCCCTCTGTGGGGTCAGTAGGCTGAGTAGCTGTGGTCTGAGGAGGCAGATACTTGAGCTCCAGGCCTCCAGAAGGTCCCAGGGGTCGAGGGGAGGAGATGGGCAGGGCCGACAAATGGCCAGAGCATGGAAAGCAACCAGGGTTGCAGAGGCAACGGCACCGAGGACCAAGTGCTGGCAGAAAGAACAAGGACGGACTTCAGGCCCCTGCGCAGGGTCCCACGGTGGGCGGGGCTGGGGCAGCCCAGGCAGAGGAGGCAGCCGGACAAACTGAGGGGAGGCTGAGAGACAGGGGCTGGGATGGTGTTCCGGTTACCAGTGCTGCTCTGACAGGAATATGCCACAAATGGGATGGCCTTAACAGGTTATTCTCTTACAGTTCAGGAGGCTAGAAGTCTGAGTTCAAAGTGCCAGGCTCTAGGGGCTGTGTGAAAACCCCCTCAACCTTGGGCTTCAGCTCTGCCTCTTGTTCCCAGCCCACTGAAGCTAGAGGCATCTCTTCACTCAGGCAGCTACTGGCTCCTGAGGCTAATAAGCCCAGGGTCGACAAATAAAATGGCACAGTCCCGATGTTACCAAACCACACGGCAGGCCATTTATTCAAGTCCATTTTAAGTCCCAAGTTCGGCAGAGCATGGCAGGGTGCTGAACAACGACACGGCTACATGCAGGGTCCAAGCATGCCATAGGCTAGAGACCATTCCAAAGCTGTTTCTTATATACAGGAAGCAGACCACAAACCCAAACTACTCAGCTGCTCACAGTAGATCCCACCATGGAGTCAATTACCAGTCTCATCATGGGGAATACTACATCCAGCTGCCCAGCCATTCAACCAGGCCCAGCCAAGTTGACACACAAACTTAACCACCACAGATGGGAAGGGTCTGGGTCTGGGGGACCAGGTATATATGGGCTGGGCTGCTGGATGTGCCTTCTTGCTGGGTGAGTTCAGGACACAGACAGAGTGGATGGAGGATGGCTTGAAGGGGGCCCCCTCTCTCCCTGTCCCACTGACTTTCCTCTGGCTCTGCCCCTCAAAAGCACTACACACCCCTACTTCACACCATATACAGAAATTGTAAGAGCTAAAACCATAAAACTCTTAGAAGGAAACAGTGGTAAATCTTTATGGTCCTGTATTTGGCGATGGAGTTGGAAATAGGGCACCAAAAGGACAAGCAATGAAAGAAAAACTAGAGAAATGGAACTTCATCAAAATGACGACTGTGTTCGTCCAAGGATGTTATTGGGAGTGAGAAGCCAGCCTACCGACTGAGACAGAGTGTTTGGAAGTCACATATCTGATACTCAACTCACTGCCGTCAAGTCAGATCTGATTCACAGTGACCCCTCCTTGGTTTTCCGAGGCGGTATCACTATGGAAGTAGATTGCCCAAACTTCCTTCCGAGAAGCGGCTGGTGGGTTTGAACCGCCAGCCTTCTGGTTAGCAGTCAAAGTGCCTTAGGCACTATGCCACCAGAGACTCCTATATACCAAACCAAACTCACTGTCAGTGGAGTCGGATCCAACCCATTGTGACCCTTCCTTGGGTTTCTGAGGCTGTATCAACTATGGAAGTATATTGCCCAACCTTCCGAGGAGTGGCTGGTGGGTTTGAACCACCAGCCTTCTGGTTAGCAGTCAAATGCCTTAGGCACTGCACCACCAGAGCGCCTATATATCTGATGTTGTTGTTGTTGTTGTTATGTGCCGTCGAGTCGGATCCAACTCATAGCGACCCCTCCTTGGGTTTCCAAGGTGGTATCTCTACAGAAGTAGATTGCCCCATCTTCCTTCTAGGGAGTGGCTGGTGGGTTTGAACTGCCAGCCTTCTGGTTAACAGTCAAATGCCTTAGGCACTACGCTACCAGAGCTCCCATATATCTGATAGGAGTTCAATATTTAGAAATATTCAACAAGAAAATAATCCAATTAAAAAGTGTGTAGAGGATTTGAACAGACACTTCTGCAAAGACATACAAATGGCCAATAAGCACAGGGAACGATGCCCAACATCACTAGTTACTACAGAAAAGCAAATCAGAAGCACCCACTTCACACCCACTATGACGGCGATCCTACAAATGATGATGAGCGTCAGTGAGGATGTGGAGAAGGTGAGATCCTGGCCCACTGCTGGTGGGAGTGTAAACTAGGGCAGTCCTGTAGAAAGCAGTGTGTGTGTGTGTGTGTGTGTGGGGGGGGTTCTTGAAAAAGTTAAACATAGAATGACTATGGGATCCAACAAGTGCACTCACAGGTACACACTCAAAGCCTTGACAGCAGTGTTCCTTAGAGCATGAACCTCAAAGGTGGACCCAGATGTCCACAACAGAGCAAGGAGCCCACAAAATGTGGTCAATTCGTACAATGGAGTATCAGTATCCCAGAAACAAAGGCTTACAAACATTGCAACATGGAGGAACCCTGAAACAGTATGCTGAGTGAGGCTGGTCAGACACAAAAGCACAGCAATGGTGTGATCCCAGGTCAAGAACCACCTAGAGTCGGCAGGTGCATGGAGACAGAGGCGGGTTAGGTGGGCAGGGCTGGGGAGAGTGAACGGTAAGATGGGCAAATTTCGCAGTACATGTATTTTAAGAAGCCTTTGTCGTGCGATGCTTTAGTGCTCAGCTCCTAACTGAAAGGTCGGCAGTTCAAACCCACCCAGGAGCTCCACAGAAGGAAGACCCAGTGATGTGCCCCGGGAAAGCTCACAGCCTAGAAAATACCCCGGGTAGCTGTGCTGCCACCTGGGGCTCTTGGTCGGAGGGGCTCCATGCCACCCAACAACAGGAACAATATATGCTTTACCACAATTGTAAACATGTGAAAAAAAAAAAACCCAAACCCAAAACACTCCTCTCATGCCCTCACCACATGGCTCTGATGTGTCTACTTGGGCTCCTGGCTTGCACACCTGAGGCCCGGTTGGGGCGGGGCGGGATGGGCAAATGGCTTTGGCTGAAAACCACAGTGACCCTTATGGTGACCTCACCCTCTGAGGGCCCCAGGATGAGAGACCTGGGACCCCAGGTTCTGCAAAGCGCCTCATCTCGCTGTATCCTTCCTCAGACTCGAGGAGGCAGCCCATCCAGGGAGGACGTGAGCCGGGAAGGCTGATCTGCTGCCTCACCCCATGAGGCCAGGCAGGTAGGCAGTGCCCTCTGAGGCCGTGCCCACTGAGGCTGTGCTGCTCTCCTGCCTGGCCTCCGCTGGCTGAGCCCAAACTCACTCTGCCTCCGGACCCTACGGTGAGTCCAGCAGATCCCTCCGGGCCTCAGCTCCACGCTGTGACAGTGGTGGGAGGGGCTTCTGGCCTGGCTGACCCTCACGGGCCTATGGACCGGGCCACTCCTGGCCTTGGTTGTCTGGGTCAGAGGCTCAGTGTAGCAGCCCACAGGCAGGGTCTGACAAGCTCTTGCTTCTGTTTGGAGCAATCAGTGGGATCTGGTTCTGCGTGAAGGACACTCACTCCTGGAGGTGGGGAGCAGGGGGTGTGAGTAGCCTTAGAGGGGGCCGCCCCTTCCCCTCCCCACTGGGGTACCAGAAAGGTGCAG